AAATATCAAATGTTTCAAAAACATCTGCTATATATCTGGGAGTCTTAAAATGGAAGGCAATTATCAAGATTAAAGTGACAAGAATGGTGGAATCAACCTTGGGCTGGCAGATGGGTTAGGAAAAGGCTCTTTAGAGAAAAAACAGCAGGCTCTTGGTCCTAGAAGTTTCTCATGATGTAAACCACACTGATCTGCATTTAGCTATCTCACAAATTGGCCTTAAGTAGGTATAAGTAGGCCAACTTCCCATGCAACTTTGCTAGAAGAATGGGGGAAGAAGAGATCGTAAATTATTTTCTGTTGAGATATGTACCTCAACCTTACCTGATGCCTCAACAGACAAAATAAGGCCTGCAGTCAGGGCTTTCTAGTTCCCAAAGATTCAACCTACTTATAAAAGAAATCTATGAAAACAGAAAATGTTTTTCTCAGAGACAGAGGATTAATAGACAAGTAATTGGCTGAGATAGTATAATAACTTACTAAACACAGTGTCAAAATTTGGCAATCAACCATTAAGCATAATTAATAATGTTGGATTCTTTTTTTTTTCCTTACTGCAACACAATCCAACACCTAGAACTGCACAGACAAAAAAAAAAAAAAAAAAAAGGTAAGAGGAACATTAAGATGATAACTTGAAGAAAGAGGTTGTTTTTATAGGAGAAAGTACGTGGAGAAAGAATTAGGGTTTGCAACCAAGAGATTAAAGAAAATAACGACTACATGAATAATTGATTAGAATCTTTCTTGTTTCTTTGAAGGGTGAGAGGAAGGCTATGTGGGGTTAGCATCAGAAGGCCAATAAATATTTCAAAATGAGAAGTGGTCATCACTGTTAGAGAACATACAGCATGTCAACTGAGATCAACATCGACATCACATTCTTATCCAAGACCGGCCCAATTTCCCTTGAGTGAAAATGGAAGACATTTCTGTCCTACATATCTGTCTTTGTCAGGGTCCTGTGTAGTAAAGTGTTTGACGGGTGTTTTTCTTTGTTTCCTGGGAGGGAGCCTCCAAATTTTGGAACTTCCCTAGTGATAGGAGTACCTTCATTAGTTGTAGTGGGCCCTAATAGTTTATTCTAATGAGGAGACTCATTAGAGTGGACCTCTAGATAGTTTATCCTAATGATGGGACTGGGGCTGGGGCCACCTGTGCCACAAAGACCAACCATGTGATTAGAGGATTGGGGCTTTTAGCCATGTGACATCAGCCAGAGGTGGGCTGGAACTGAGTTCAATCATGTGGCTAGTGATTTAATCCATGCCTACTTAATGAAATCCCAATAAAAATTCTGAACACCACAACTGGGTGAGCTTCTCTGGTTGGTAATACTCTTGAGTATCACACAACTATGTGTCCAGAAGGTGATGTGCCCTGACTTTCGGAGGAGAGGACAAGGGAAACCTTACCCTGGGCTCTCTCTCCCTTTTGGTGTTTCAGGTGTTTCCTCTGGCTTTAATAAAACTGTAATCGTAAGTCTAGTACTTTCTTGAGCTCTGTGAGTCATTCTAGTAAATTATTGAACTTGAGGGTGTTGTAGCAACCTCCAAATTTACAGCCAGTTAGTCAGAAGAGCAGGAGACCCTAGGAATCCCCAAACTTGTGATATCTAATGTGAGGACAGTCTTATGGAGGACAGTGCCTTTAACCTGTGATGTTTGGCCCAACTCCAGTAGTTGGTGTCAGCAATTTAGCAAGAATGCTACTATTAAGACACATGCCAGCGATACGTCAAATGATTTAAGCCTGCTCTTTTTGGAAATAAGGAACTTTTGGAATAAGAAACTTTCATTCCTACAGACTTTGGCAATTAAGTATTACTAGATTGACTGATTTATATCAATTTTTGCAATAACTAATAAATATTTAATAATGTAATTATAGAAGTCAAAGTCCTAGTTTAATCATCTAGTAAGTGATACCCATTCCAACTGGAAGGAAAGTAAAAATACCACGTGGATCAAAAGAACTCAATCAAAAAGTATTATACAACTAGAATATCTGAGAAGGGAAACAAGCCTTTGACATCACCTAAGTTTTTTTTCAAACAGTTACAACTGAAGTCCAAAAACGCAGCAAAGGTAACCTCATCACTCTCTCCGTTATA